CCATCACTGGAGGTTTTTAAGAAGAGACTGGACAGCCATTTGTCTGCAATGGGATAGGGCACAGGTCAGCAACCTGCGGCTCCGGAGCCGCATGCGGCTCTTTGAGCTTCCCCTGTGGCTCCCAGCCTCCTCTGCCTTTGCAGAGAGAGACAGAGACAGAGAGAGGCAATTGCGCGTCCCTGCTTTTCTCTCTCTCTCTCTCTCTCTCTCTCTCTCTCTCTCTCTCTCTGTGTGTGTGTGTGTGTAAAAGAGAGTGCACTCACAGTGTTCTCTGAGCAGCTGAAAAGCTTACTGGGCGGAGCTCCTCCCTTTGCTCCGTCTCTGCAGGAAGCAGGAAGGGCAGGAGAGAGCTAGCTAGCCCAGCTAGGCTGACTCAGGAATTCTGGGAGTTGAAGTCCATGAGTCATAAAAGAGATGAGGTTGCCTACCCCTGATCTTGTTGGACAACAGCTTGAAGCTTGCCAAGTGAGCAGCAGATAGGAGAGGGGGGGGAGAAAGAGAGAGAGAGAAAGAGAGGGGGGGAGGGAGAGAGAGAGAGAGGAAAGAGAGAGAGAGAAAGAAAGAGAGCGGGGGGAAGAGGAGTGGCAGATCAACGGCAGATAGAGAGGGAGGGAGAGAGACAGAGAGAGAGAGACCCTTTTGACATCTAAAATGAAGATAACACTGCATATATCCTTTTTTTACATGTGTGTGTGTGTGTGTGTGTGTGTATACATACATACATACATATACATATATATATATACACACACACATACATACACACACACAAATACCCCCCCACACACAAACACACACACCTATAATAAAGATAAAAAAGGATATATGCAGTGTTATCTTCATTTTAGATATTGCAATGGTCTCTATGTTTTAACTCTTCCCCCCCCCCGGGGTCAGGTGGCAGTACACATCTCATGTTGTGTACATTGCAATAACAGAGGCATTTACCCATCCACCCCAAGATTGGGGGAAAGAAGGATGGATGAGGATGAACATGCGATCGAAATGAACGGGAAGGAACAGATCAGCCGTGCGCAGTCATACCAATTAGGCCCGATGACGAGGTCGAGGAGTCGTGCGCAGACTTTAGTACACCTATAAAAGCGACTCTCTCACTCCCTGGCGCACTAGCCCTGAGGATGCCGGCAGGTGACGGCGAAAGCTAGGCGCTTTTTTAATAAATTTTATAGTTTTATTACCCTGGTGATCATTTTATTTCTCACCATGAATACTCCCAGGGTTCATATTTTTAATTTTCTCAAACACACACACACACACACACACACACACACACACATATACTCTAGTCATTAAGTCAAGAACAACTGAGAAGCAGAAACTAGCCAGGCGGGTTAGAGTTAGATCTTCCACCGCCTCCTAAACCCCCTCTCCAGATTAAAAACCATATCAAAAGGCAGGTTCAATTCTGTTTTTAAACTTTGCACGGCACGCAAATCGTTCATCCGCTCTCGGCTCTTTGCTTAAATAGGTTGTGCAAACAGAACCGGTCTCTCTCGTGTGTGTGTGTGTGTGTGTGTGTGTGTGTGCAATAGTGCAAGCAACGCCAACCTCTGACGTTGCCCTCAAACCAGCCACGAAACAAACCATGATAGATAGCCAGATCTCCGAGGCTCCCTGTGGTCCTATAAGTGAGACCAAATGCTCTTGGGTGGTTAGACATTTCAAAGCCGGGCTGACCCGGGACCAGGTTTCGTGGGCAAAGAAGACCCAAGTCCTGAAGCCTGGAATTCTTCCTGCTATTCGTGATCCCTTCGCCGGGAGTAAATGGAGAGGAAGGGTGAGAAGGAACAGTTTCAACCACACAAATAAGATTTCTCTCTCTCTCTCTCTCTCTCTCTCTCTCTCTCTCTCTCTCTCTCTCTCTCTCTCTCTCTCTCTCTCTCTCTCTCTCTCTCTCTCTCTTTTTTTCTTTCTTTTCCCGTGCCAAATGACAATTCTAGGTTTTTTAAGTTCACCCACCCCGCGTCCCTGGTCTTTGCCCTTAACTTGGAGTTCAAGAAAATGGCTTTTTTTTTTTTTCCAAAACCAGACAAGGGTTATTTAGGGAACTATTTAAGAGATCCTAATTAGAAAGTAGCATTGGACAAAGGTTTTGGGCAGAGAGACTAAGAATGTGCCGGGGGTGGGGGGGGGAGAGATATAAACCCAGCAGGAAAATAGTGTGGAAAAGATTTGATTCCATTGGGGAGGAGGGGAGGGGAGGGAGAGAGAGAGAGAGAGAGAAAGAGGGAGGGAGGGAGGAAGGACGGAAGAGGAGAGGAAGGGGAGGGGAGGGGAGAAGGGGGGAGTAGGAGGAAGAGGAAACCAGTTAAGGAAGGAGAGGGAGGAAGGGAAGGAAGGAAGGAAGGAAGGAAGGAAGGAAGGAAGGAAGGAAGGAAGGAAGGGGAAGGGGGGAGGGGAGGGGAGGGGAGAAGGGGAGAGTAGAAGAGGAAACCAGTTAAGGAAGGAGAGGGAGGGAGGAAAGGAAAGAAGGAAGGAAGGAAGGAAGGAAGGAAGGAAGGGGAAGGGGGGAGGGGAGAAGGGGGGAGTAGTAGGAAGAGGAAACCAGTTAAGGAAGGGGAGGGAGGGAGGAAAGGAAAGGAAAGGAAGGAAGGAAGAGGAAGGGGAGGGGAGGGGAGAAGGGGAGAGTAGGAGGAAGAGGAAACCAGTTAAGGAAGGGGAGGGAGGGAGGGAAGGAAGGAAGGAAGGAAGGAAGGAAGGAAAGAAGGAAAGAAGGAAGGAAGGGGAAGAGGAGAGGAAGGGGAGAGGAGAGGAGAAGGGGGGAGTAGGAGGAAGAGGAAACCAGTTAAGGAAGGAGAGGGAGGGAGGGAGGGAAGAAAGGAAAGGAAAGGAAAGGAAAGGAAAGGAAGGAAGGAAGGAAGGAAGGAAGGAAGGAAGGAAGGAAGGAAGGGGAAGAGGAAAGGAAGGGGAGGGGAGAAGGGGAGAATAGGAGGAAGAGGAAACCAGTTAAGGAAGGGGAGGGAGGGAGGGAGGAAGGAAGGAAAGGAAAGGAAGGAAGGAAGGAAGGAAGGAAGGAAGGAAGGGGAAGAGGAAAGGAAGGGGAGGGGAGAAGGGGAGAATAGGAGGAAGAGGAAACCAGTTAAGGAAGGGGAGGGAGGGAGGGAGGAAGGAAGGAAAGGAAAGGAAGGAAGGAAGGGGAAGAGGAAAGGAAGGGGAGGGGAGAAGGGGAGAATAGGAGGAAGAGGAAACCAGTTAAGGAAGGGGAGGGAGGGAGGAAGGAAAGAAGGAAGGAAAGAAGGAAGGAAGGAATATGGAAGAGCAGAGGAGGGGAGGGGGGAGAGGAAGAAGAAAGGAGTGAGGAGAGGGAGGGAACGAAGGAGTGAAGGAGAGAAGGAAGAGAAAGAAGGGGAAGGGAAGGAAAAGGAAGAGAAAAAGAAGAAGAGGAGTGACAAGAGAAGAATGGAAGACATTTAACCCTTTTCCAAAGGAGCCTCGGAGTCTTTCCTGAGTTCCTATCTTGGGGAAATCCCTGTGGGTTTATAAACCGACATCTAGCCAATCCACCATTCCCCAAACTGCGCCCCACCAAACATGTTTGCCCTGCAATTCCCAGAAAAACCTGGATCTCGCAAGCGGAACAATGTTGGAGTGAGCCAGCCTGGGAAGACCCCCCTCTCTTTTCGTCGTCCGTCAGACTTTGATCTCGTCTTTCAGGAGCTCAAGGGGGGGTTGGGGGGGTCTTTACTTCCTCTAGTGTTCCCACAACCCCCACGGGGGGCAGGTCACTGGTGACGGGAGCCATGAGACCCCTCCAAAGTCAACCCCAAGTCTGCAGGGCTGAAGGCAGCCTTGGACTTGGGCCTCCAGGCTTCCCATCCAGCACCTTGGGAAATTGCTTTGCTGGGAAGAAGTTGGATTTTGTCCAGCAATGTCATCGATTTTTTCCTGTATTCTGTATTTCTGTGTTCTGTATTTTTTTTTCCTGTATTTTTCTGCACTCATCACTCCAAATTTCTCTTTACTAGGAGTTCTGGATGGCCCAACCGATTGTTTCTCAGCCTGAGCTTAAAAAGGCGTGGACTTCAACTCCCAGAATTCTCCAGAACTACCTGAGGAATTCTGGGAGTGGAAGTCCACCCATCTTAAAACATGCTGTCAGGGGAATTCTGGGAGTGGAGGTCCATCCATCTTAAAGTGTGCTGGCTAAGGAATTCTGGGAGTGGAAGTCCATGCATCTTAAAGACCCTAATTGGGGAATTCTGGGAGTAGAGGTCCATCCATATTAAAGCATGTTGGCTAAGGAATTCTGGGAGTGGAAGTCCACCCATCTTAAAGCACGCTGGCTAAAGAATTCTGGGAGTTGAAGTCCATCCATCTTAAAGCATGCTGGCTAAGGAATTCTGGGAGTCGAAGTCCACCCATCTTAAAGCATGCTGGCTAAGGAATTCTGGGAGTCGAAGTCCACCCATCTTAAAGCATGCTGGCTAAGGAATTCTGGGAGTCGAAGTCCACATATCTTAAAGCATGCTGGCTAAGGAATTCTGGGAGTCGAAGTCCACATATCTTAAAGCATGCTGGCTAAAGAATTCTGGGAGTTGAGGTCCACCCATCTTAAAGTATGCTGGCTGGGGAATTCTGGGAGTGGAAGTCCATGCATCTATGCTAATTTGGGAATTCTGGGAGTCCAAGTCCACCCATCCTCAAGTGCCAGGCCTGGGAAGCCCTGCTCTTATGTTTCTGCTGCAGCACCGCCATGCGCAAGCAGACCTGGTGCCCAAACGCCACATGCTCTTGAAACCATTTGCCACCCTTGACCGCGCAGGGCGTGGGGTTTTGACAACCAGCACATTCCTCGCTCACACCCTTTGTGTGCAAAGAAAACTCCAGAGATTCTCAGCCCCGGCGTGAGCAAGCAAGAGAGACGCGTTTTTGCTGGTGCTGCTACTGCTGGCAAGCTGGTGTATTGGTTGTGTGTGTGTGTGTGTGTGTGTGTGTGTGTGTAGAGCGAGGAAGGCGTGACCAGCATGGGGAATGCCAGACACCCCCCCCCCCAGACACACTGCCTCACACACACAGCCACTCTCTCTCTCTCTCTCTCTCTGCTTTTCACTGCTTTCTCTCCCCGCTCATAAGCTCTGAACAAAGATAATCCAGCCGGCGCTGAACACTGGATAGCGCACAGCGCATGGTGAGCATCGCCACTCTCCTTGTTTCGGGAGGCATCCGTGGACCCTCAAAATAAGGGCACCCCCAGGACAAAGAGCATGAGGTGAGTTGCTGGCAGAGGGGGGACTAAGCATGCAAGATTGCTGAAATTGTCTTTTTTTGGGGGGGGATGCTCCTTTGTGTTTTTCTCATGGGTGGGGAGCATTTCTGCCAAGGCAGCCCGATCAAAGCTTGGCTGGAAAAAAGACACCTGTCCATTTGGCTGTTTCGTCCAGAAGTGACAATGCACACGGCTCCTTTTTTTTTCCCCTCTCCTTTTTTTTTTTTAAATCTCATCCATACCCTGCAGGGTTTTAATTTGATTTTTTTTTTTTTTTAAATCCCTCTTGCTGGCTGTGGATGGCAGGCATCAGGAGCCGAAGGGGTTAAGGGTGGCTTTCTGGATTAAAATGTCTGTTTTTCTGGGGAGCTCAGGATTTGGTCTCCTGCTTTTGCAGAATATTGGTGAGCGGGAAGGTGGAAGGGTAAAGGAAGATTTGGAATGGTCAAGAAAGATCTGGAATGGTCAAGAAAGATTTGCATCCAGGACTGATCCCTCAGGGAGAGAGCCGAATTGAGAAAGAAACGGGGGGGGGGAAGGATCCAGCAGCATTTCTTGATTTCTTCCTGGGATCACCGTGCAGCTGCTCATTGGTTTGTTGGTTTGTTTGTTCAAAAAAAGTGACGGTTGGCAAATGGATTGCAAGTTTTCCAAACAACGGGAACCCCCTCCCTCACCATCAAAAGGACTCTGTTTATTTACTTATTGATTCTGCCTCAGCCGCGCTAATCAAGTTTGCAACTGGTTGGTTTGTCAGGTTGGGAAATTCATCCCGCCAGTCAAAAAAACGTTGGCAAATGGGGAAGGTGGTGTTGAAAAGTAGTATTGGGCCTACGCAGAGCCGTTTCAAGGGAGGAGAGCAAGCTTGAGGGTTGCACAGCACTCTTCTCCTCCTAGTTAGGAATTGCAAGGGGGGGGGAGGAAGAAAACAAACTGTAATGAGACTCTTATTTGGCGTTCAAAGGCTGGGAGATGATTGTAGCCTCTACTACAGGGCTCTTCATGCTTGGCCCTTTCATGACTGGTGGACTTCAGTTCCCAGAATTCCTCAGCCAGCCTGGGGGAACTATGGCCCCTTCATGACTTGCGGACTTCAACTCCCAGAATTCCTCAGCCAGCATGGCAGAACTATGGCCCCTTCATGACTTAAGGACTTCAACTCCCAGAATTCCTCAGCCATCATAGGGGAACTATGGCCCCTTCATGGACTTCATCTCCCAGGATTCCTCAGCCATCATAGAACTATGGCCCCTTCATGATTTGAGGACTTCAATTCCCAGAATTCCTCAGCCAGCATGGGACAACTAGGGCCCCTTCATGACTGGTGGACTTCAACTCCCAGAACTCCTCAGCCAGCGTGGGGGAACTATGGCCCCTTCATGACTTGCGGACTTCAACTCCCAGAATTCCTCAGCCAGCGTGGGGGAACTATGGCCCCTTCATGACTTGTGGACTTCAACTCCCAGAATTCCTCAGCCAGCGTGGGGGAACTATGGCCCCTTCATGACTTGCGGACTTCAACTCCCAGAATTCCTCAGCCAGCATGGGGGAACTATGGCCCCTTCATGACTTGTGGACTTCAACTCCCAGAATTCCTCAGCCAGCATGGCGGAACTATGGCCCCTTCATGACTTAAGGACTTCAACTCCCAGAATTCCTCAGCCAGCATGGGGGACCTATGGCCCCTTCATGACTTAAGGACTTCAACTCCCAGAATTCCTCAGCCATCATAGGGGAACTATGGCCCCTTCATGGACTTCATCTCCCAGGATTCCTCAGCCATCATAGAACTATGGCCCCTTCATGATTTGAGGACTTCAATTCCCAGAATTCCTCAGCCAGCATGGGACAACTAGGGCCCCTTCATGACTGGTGGACTTCAACTCCCAGAACTCCTCAGCCAGCGTGCCTGGCTGAGGAATTCTGGGAGTTGAAGTCCACCACTCATAAAAGGGCCAAGTTTGAAGACCCCTGCTCTACTATTTATCTTGGTTTGCAACTAGGGTAACCAACCTTGCTATACCTGCAGGACGCCCTCCCATTTTACAGATGTTTAGATCCCCAGGATATTTGAAAAAAGGGGAATTTTAATTGCACATCCCTCAGTCCAAACCTATGCTGCAATCGGAGGGCTAGAAACTCAGCTGCTGCATTTGCAGCAAGATTGTCCTCAAGGGAGTAAAAAAAAAAAAGTCAAAATGGTGGCAGGGACTGACCACTCTTAAGTCCTCTCCCATTTTGAAGCACTAGGCTAGAAAGCGGGAGATGGTGAATTCTAGTCCCCCCCTTAGGAATGAAAGCCTGCTGGGTGACTTTGAGCCAATCACCAGGAGGTGGGGAATTCTAGTCCCGCCTTAGACATGAGAGCCGGCTGGGAGACTTTGGGCCAATCACCAGGAGACGGTGAGTTCTAGTCCCACCTTAGGCATGAAAGAAGGCTGGGAGACTTTGGCCAATCACCAGGAGACAGGGAGTTCTAGTCCCGCCTTAGCCATGAAAGCTGGCTGGATGACTTTGGGCCAATCACCAGGAGACTGGGCGTTTTAGTCCTGCTTTAGAGAGAAAAGCTGGCTGGGGGACTTTGGGCCAAGCACCAGGAAACGGTGAGTTCTAGTCCCGCCTTAGACATGAGAACCAGCTGGATGACTTTGGGCCAATCCCTCTCTCATCCCAGCCCACCTCACAGGGCTGTGGTTATGGGGAATAGAGGAGGAGGAAGGATGAAGTATGTTTGGACCTTGAGATTATTATTATAAATAGCCTTATAATATTATAAAAAGAATAAAGGCAGGCTGTAACTGAATCAATACCTAAATAAATAAGTACAGATATAAGAAGGGGTGGGCTCCAATCACGAGATTGAAGCTGCTGTCTTGACTTTTTTGACCCTCACCCAGTTGCCCCTGATTCCCCAACATCCTAAACCAGGTTGAAATGTTCATCTTGGCTTGCTTTCACTTTTTTCCCCGGTGGATTAGCGTGCTGTGCAGATTTAGCTCAGTTTACAGCTCTGTGCACTGTTTAAGTTAGTTTACAGTTAGTTTACAGTTCAACGCACTGTGTGACAATGGATGAATTCCACTGCCAGACTCACAACGTTGCAAGCGAGCAGCCATCTGCAAAATTGACAAAATCTGTCACAAGATGTTTATAGAACATCGGAACAGAGAGATCAGGGATGGGATTTCTTGGTGGCGTTGTGTACTGAAAACAGGGTCTGCGACATTTTTCTCACTCTCTTGGAGCCCCTAAATCTGCATGGGAGGGGTGGGAACGTTCCAGAACATGTTTCTCAACATTAGGAAGTTTTAAGAGGGGTGGACTCCAACACCCAGAATTCCCTAGCCAGGATGCATGGACTTCAATTTCCAGAATTCCCCTGCCAGGATATGAGAACATCAACTCCCAGAATTCCTCAGCTAGGATGTATGGACTTCAACTCCCAGAATTCCTCAGCTGGGGTGTATGGATTTCAACTCCCAGAATTCCCCTGCCAGGATATGAGGACTTCAACTCCCAAAATTCCTCAGCTGGGATGTCTGGATTTCAACTCCCAGAATTCCCCTGCCAGGATATGAGGACTTCAACTCCCATAATTCCTCAGTTAGGATGTATGGACTTCAACTCCCAGAATTCCTCAGCTGGGATGTATGGATTTCAACTCCCAGAATTCCCCTGCCAGGATATGAGGACTTCAACTCCCAGAATTCCTCAGCTAGGATGTATGATTTCAACTCCCAGAATTCCCCTGGGCAGCATGTATGGACTTCAACTCCCAGAATTCCTCAGCTAGGATGTATGGATTTCAACTCCCAGAATCCCCTGGGCAGCATGTATGGACTTCAACTCCCAGAGTTCCCCAGCCAGGATGCGTGGACTTCAATTCCTAGAATTCCCCTGCCAGGATTTGAGGACTTCAACTCCCAGAATTCCCCAGCCAGGATATGAGGACTTCAGCTCCCAGTGTGCTGCCTGGAGAATTGTGGAAGTGCACAAGTCATAAAAGTTTGAAGACCCCTACCCAAGGCAACTTGGTGGAAGTAGAATGGCTGAGCAGTGGTATGTTAAAGGAGGGTTCTTCAACCTTGGCCACCTCACGACTTGTGGACTCCAACTCCCACAATTCCTCAGCCAGCATGCCTGGATGAGGAATTCTGGGAGTTGAATTCCACAAGTCATCAAAGGGCCAAGTTTGAAGACCCCTGTCTTAAATCTAACAAACAAAATGGAGGCTGGCTGAGGAATTCTGGGAGTTGAAGTCCACAAGTCATCAAAGGGCCAACTTTGAAGACTCCTGTCTTAAATCTAACAAAATGGAGGCTGGCTGAGGAATTCTGGGAGTGGAAGTCCACAAGTCATCAAAGGGCCAAGTTTGAAGACCCCTGTCTTCAATCTAACGAACAAAATGGAGGCTGGCTGAGGATTTCTGGGAGTTGAAGTCCACAAGTCATCAAAGGGCCAAGTTTGAAGACCCCTGGTTTAGTTTCTTGCCTGGCCTATCTTATAGGGCCGGCAGTGTGTGTGTGTGGTGACATGCAGGAATCACCGTGTCCTTGTTTTCCAGGTGTTTGTTGATTTGGGGTCTTTGTGCGGTCTGGCTGTTCGGAGCAGAGGCTGTTGAATTGAATGACATGTTTGGACAAATCACCTCTCCCGGTTATCCGGACTCTTATCCCAGCGATTCAGAAGTGACCTGGAATATCTCCGTGACGGAGGGGTTTCGCGTGAGGCTCTACTTCATGCATTTCGACCTGGAAGCCTCCTACCTTTGCGAATACGACTACCTGAAGGTGAGTCCACAAATGCAGTGCCTGGTGAAATCTTGGGATTTTAAAGGATTAGAATATAGCCTGCTTTTCGTAACCATTCAGGCTGGCCTACGCAATGCCCCTGTTTCCTATTGTCCCTATCACAACATCCTTGCAAGGTGGGACAGGATGAGAGAGAGGGACTGGCTGGAAGTGACCCAGCCAGCTTTTATGCCTAAGGCGGGACTCACCGTCTCCTGGTGATTGGCCCAAAGTCACCCAATCGGCTTTCATCCTTAAAGTGGGACTAGAACTCACCGTCTCCTGGGGATTGGCCCAAAATCATCCAATCGGCTTTCATGCTTAAGGTGGGATTAGAACTCACCATCTCCTGGGGATTGGCCCAAAGTCACCCAGCTGCCTTAAGATAGGATTTGAACTCATGATCTAGTACAGCATGTTCATCATTAGGGCAAACTAAACGGGGAGAATTTGGTTACTGAAATTTAAGCCAGCATATTTTGCTTTATCTTTTTGTTTCTCACATCTGAAAGGACACAGGGGCATTGAGAAAAGCCTCCTGGGTTGGACTAGATGACCTCCATGGTCCCTTCCAACATTATTATTATTATTATTACTATTATTGATCATCACACAGTCAGCCAAATGTTCATACTGGATTTGGCATTTTTGTCTACTTATCGAGTCCTTATCCAGGACCTGGGATAGGCAGATGTGGATGTTTGATGGTATTACAGATATCGTCGCAGGATGGAAGCGGTTCCTAGTAAGGCCGCCTTTTGCAATTGACTAATGGCAAATTTGTCAATGTCAATGGTGTTCAAGTGTTGTTGTTGTTGTTGTTGTTGCTGTTGTTGTTATTATTATTATTATTGATCATCGCACAGTCAGCCAGATGTTCAGACTGGATTTGGCATTTTTGTCTACCTATCAAGTCCTTCCCAAGGACCTGGGATAGGCAGCTGTGGATGTTTGATGGTATTACAGATATCGTCGCAGGATGGAAGCAGTTCCTAGTAAGGCCGCCTTTTGCAATTGACTAATGGCGAATTTGTCAATGCCAATGGTGTTCAAGTGGTGCTCCAGTTGTTTTGGGATTGCACCCAAGGAGCCTATGACTATTGGTACCACCCTTGCTTGCTTTTGCCACAGTCTTTCTAGTTCTACTGTATTTGTAGGTCTTTGTATTTTGTTATCTTCTCCAGTTCTCCAGTTGTTGTTTTTGTTGTTGTTGTTGTTATTATTTATTCCTTCATTCCTTCCTTCGTTTATTTACCTATAATTATATACATTTATATATGTATCTATTTATATATACATATATATTTATCCAAGGTAGTCCTCAAATTACAAGTTTATTTAATGACAGTTCAAAGTTACAACAGCCCTGAAAAAAGTGACTTATGACCTTTTTTTCACACTTATGACCATTGCAGCCTCCCCATTCATCACATGATCAAAATTCAAGATGCTTGGCAACTGACTTGTATTTATGACGGTCGCAGAGTCCCCGGGTTATATGATCCCCTTTTGCGAACTTCTGACAAGCGAAGTCAATGGGGGGAATCCAGATTCACTTAACAACTGCGTGACTAACTTAACAACGGCAAGGATTCACTTAACAATGGAGGCAAGGAAGGTCATCCAATGGGGCGAAACTCACTTTAAAAATGTCTCACTTAGCAACGGCAGTTTTGGTCTGAACTGGGGCCATAAGTCGAGGACTAGCTGTATTAATCCAATCCAGAAGGTAGCTACAATCAGTAACCAGGTTCAGTAGGCAACGGTGGGAAACCATGGCCCTTTTGTGACCTGCAGACTTCAACTCCCAGAATTCCTCAGCCAGCATGGGGGAAACTATGGCGCCTTCATGACTTGTGGACTTCAACTCCCAGAATTCCTGAGCCAGCATGAGGGAAACTTTGGCCCCTTCATGACTCGTGGACTTCAACTCCCAGAATTCCTGAGCCAGCATGGGGGAACTATGGCCCCTTCATGGCTGGTGGACTTCAACTCCCAGAATTCCTGAGCCAGCCTGGCTCAGCTTGGAAACCTCTCCCTTTCCCCTCAGCGTGGCTGGCTCGGGAAATCTGGGAGTTGAAGTCCATGAGTCATAAAGCGGCCTAGGCTTATAGGTTGTGTGAATGTAGCCGTGTTCATTGTATGAAATCTTCCAGGCCTGGACCTTGTGCTCTTTGCATTGTCCCTTTCTCAATTGCACAATTCTGCTAAAAAATGACAATCGTTTGTTGTTGCTCAGAATGTAAGTGCCTTATAATCAGAGCGATAAATTGTGTTCAAAACACAAAAACAACCTTTGTTCCTTCAGATCGAGTTTGGATATTAACTTTGGGCTCCAGAATCAAAGGTTGCTCATCCCTAAATCTAATTCCACTATCTTGTCTCCAGAAATCTATGTATACTGTCTCAAGCTTTGTCTCTCAGATATACTGCCTTTGAACATGGGGTCTCTAAACCGTATTTTTGCAAGGCGGTTTGAATGTAACTGAGGTGGCTGGGTTAGGCAACTGCTGTGGACAATTCGTAAATAGTGAATTAGTAACTATCAGCCAGGAAGGGTTGAATTTTTGAACAAAGATTAACTTTCCGAAAGAACTGAGGCAGGGATAAGAGTAGGGGAGTGGTCAGAAAAGTCAAAATGGCGGCCCCGGTCCTGGGATCAAAGCCCCACGTCTTTTTTTATCTGCCGGTAGTCCTCAACTTAACGAAAGTCACCCAAACTTACGACAGTCGCACAAACTAAGATTTCATGGCTTAGCGTGGCATGCTCTTAGGCTAGTTTGTGATTAAAATGTTTTTTAAGAAACTAACAGCACAGATAGTCCTTGATTAGTGACCACTTGAAGTTAAGACAAACAACCAAGTTCCTTCAAAGGAACTTAAGAAGAGACTGGACAGCCATTTCTCTGAAATGATATAGGATAGTGTTTCCTGCCTGAGCAGGGGGTTGGACTAGATGACCTCCAAGGTCCCTTCCGACTCAGTTATTCCTGTTCTATTCTGTTCATTCTGTTATTCTATTCTATTCTATTCTATTCTATTCATTCTGTTATTCTGTTCTGTTCTGTTCCGTTCCGTTCCATATTTTCTCTTCTCTTCTCTTCCCTTCCCTTCCCTTCCCTCCATCCCATTCCATATTTTCTATTCTATTCTATTCCATTCCATTCCATCCCATTCCATATTTTCTATTCTATTCTATTCCATTCCATTCCATCCCATTCCATATTTTCTATTCTATTCTATTCTATTCTATTCTATTCTATTCTATTCTCCATTCCATTTCATTCATTCCATATTTTCTCTTCTCTTCCATACCATTCCATTCCATCCCATTCCATATTTTCTATTCTATTCTATTCTATTCTATTCCATTCCATTCCATATTTTCTCTTCTCTTCCATTCCATTCCATTCTATTCCATCCCATTCCATATTTTCTATTCTATTCTATTCTATTCTATTCTATTCTATTCTATTCTATTCTATTCTATTCTATTCTATTCCATTCCATTCTATTCCATTCCATTCTATTCCATTCCATATTTTCTCTTCTCTTCTCTTCCATTCCATTCTATTCCATCCCATGCCATATTTTCTATTCTATTCTATTCTATTCTATTCTATTCTATTCTATTCTATTCCATTTCATTCCATTCCATTCTATTCCCAATTCCAGCAACTGTTCCTTGTATGTTTTAGCCTCCAGTCCCCTAATCATCTTTGTTGCTCTTCTCTGTGCTCTTTCTAGAGTCTCCACATCTTTTTTACACCACAGTGACCAAAACTGGATGCTATATTCCAAGTGTGGCCTTACCAAAACCTTGTGAAGCGGTATTAACACTTCAAGTGCATTTGGTTTTTCTTTCTTTCTAATGACTTTGCTGAGTGTTTGTCTGATCTTCAACAAACATCAAGGGCAAAGCCAGAGGGGTTTTTTTTGTTTTTGTTTTTTAAAGCATACAAATCAAACGATGTGCTGTTATTTAAAAACCCTGTTAGAGTCACAAGAAAGCGTTGGAATGCACCCCGATTTGACAGATTAATTATCTTTCATCCTCCTGGTTCCCACTGACTGTGTGTGATTCACACTTCCCTTGTGTTCAGGCAGCAGGAGGAAGGCGAAAATCTGACAAAAAAAAAGTATCTTTCCATCCTTTTTTCTTCGTTTTAATTGCTTTTTTAGCCCTTTTGAACTCTTTCTTGCATCTATTGCACATTTTATTACGTATAACCCTCCCAGAGTCGCTGGGCTAGTGAGGCGAGTGGCAGAAAAATTTAATCCGTATACATTTTTAAAAGATGCATCGACAAAGATACCCTTGGCATGCCTGAAAAAGAGACGAAACGAAATGATGGACTTGTGGAATCCGAAGGGGCCTTTAAGGTCTTCTAGTCCAACCCGCTGCTCATAGGATCATTGCAAACTAAGGACGAGCATATATGCTGCACTGGGGAGACCACACTTAGAGTACTGCATCCAGTTTTGGTCACCACGATGTAAAAAAGATGCTGAGACTCTAGAAAGAGTGCAGAGAAGAGCAACAAAGATGATCGGGGGGCTGGAGGCTAAAACATATAAGGAACGGTTGCTGGAATTGGGTATGTCTAGTTTAATGAAGAGAAGGACGAGGGGGGACAGGATAGCAGTCTTCCAGTACCTCCGGGGCTGCCCCAAAGAAGAGGGAGTCAAGCTCTTCTCCAAAGCCCCTGAAGGCAGGGCAAGAAGCAACGGATGGAAACTCATCAAGGAGAGAAGCAACCTGGAACTACAAAGACTTGGTTCCAGAAAAAGGATATTAAATAAGTGGGGATCCACCATTGAGAAGATTGTCTACCTCCCACGTCCCTTGTGAACAGGAAGAATCTTCTCCATTCCTTTTCAAGATGTCCGGACTGGATGGTCAAATATAGATTCTACCAGCCTCTCTAAGGCCCTGGGACATCCAAAGCGATCCCAACTCGGAGCTTCTACGATCTTCTAGCATCCAATCATTGTTGGGG